AGGTGTGTGAAGTGACAGCAGGACAGGTGTGTGAAGTGACAGCAGGAGCAAAGACAGCATCTGGCTCTCAACGCATCCCCCCGCCACCAAACACACACAGTCAGCATCTGAATGAGACACCCCCAAAGGTCAAATCAACCTGTTCAAGGATGTTAGGATACCTTGAGCAGGTGAGGTTTGAACCCAGGCCTCCTGGCTCAGAGGTAGGGACACTAGCAATGCACCACAACAGCTTGCAAAGTTTCAGGTCAGGACCCTTCTTCAGCAATCCCCACCTGTCTTGAGGTGAAGACCAGCAGGATAATACCCTCAAGTGGACATTAGCTGTCCACTTAGGGGCTTCAACTGTCAGTAGGATGGGTAGGCCATCCACAAACCCGCCTGCTCTGGGCTGAATCAAAGCTGATGCAGAAAAGAGACAGGGCCCCCACCATTACGTCCTCCCCAGAGACAAATATTTAATTCCACTCGAAGTGGGGTAGAACACTTCAGCTACATCTAGTTGTCAAACACATTAACTGCTGCAACAAAAGTAGCCAGTAAAAAAAGCCATAAATTACTCAGCCACAAAACCAATGTTATTTTGAAAATTGATGAGCAAAATTGTTTAATACCGATGACTGGGAAATGAATTTTAACAGGTGTGGAAATTAAATAGGCAGATAAAATCATGGAACATTCAATGTACAATACAGACAGCAGTACAAGCCCTTCGACACATCTATGTTCTTAACTAAAAGCTGATTTTTTTTTTTTAAAAATAGATTACATTTTGAATTCTCATTATTTTAAAATCAATGAAACTCTTAATCTAATTCTACAGTCTCCTACAAATGGATTATTTTGCAAAAAAAATTGTACCACCTTACCTGTGGGTGCCTTTGGGAGAGATCAACACGACTGAGCATGGCCAAAACAAAGGCAGCTGTCTTACCAGTACCCGACTGAGACTGTGCAATCAGATTCTGAGGGCTAGAAAAAGACAATTCAAATACAGAATGTCATACAGAAAAAGTATATTGGGAAAAGCATATGGCATATCTCGTCAATTAATATCAAGTGTGATAAACATACGGTTCTGCAAGCATCATGGGTAACGCTGTCTCCTGGATCTTTGAAGGTCTGTTAAATCCCATTCCATATACTCCTTGCAGAAGATCTTTTTTCCTAGAAATCGGGAGAAAGAATTCCTCCTTATTTATGAAATCCAGTTTTCCCTCACCTTAATTAATTAGTTGATAAATGGAAACATCAGATGATCCTCTCAATTTTCCTCCTTTCATATATTAAAAAATGATACCAATTTCCACTTGCATTAATCCCAATGTAGATTAATATAAAAAGTGTCCAGCATTAATGGTTTTGCATACCTTTAATGCTAACTTTCATATCACATGAAGACAACATTCCTTCATTTTATTCCTATTTACAGTTTTTAAAATGAGTACAACTTCAAGCACGTAGAACCACTCCTGTCTCAATGTAACACATACCACTCAATCCATTCAATGGCATCAGATTGAAGGAACATAACTAACAAAAATGGAAAGTGAACTAACTCAATGTATAGTTAACCAAGTCTCAATAACGACATATGCACAGATTGCTTTCTGCCTTGGCTTAACAGTGCTCCATATGTTACACATCTAAAAGGTGAAGCTTTCTTTATGAAGGAAGATGAAAAACTGCGGCTTATGTTCAAGACGTACGAAATGCAGTTTTTCAAAGTTATGAAATACTTCGGTAACAAATAGGGAAAAACTCCCAGTGTAGCTGAGTTGGTCTTTTGACAGCATAATTATTAGAACATTACAGTATGAAGCATAACAATGCTGTGCCTTTAAGAGGTTATTTTTTCCTGTTTTCTTTTAGGCAGAGACTGGAGGATAGGCGACGAGCAGTCTATGAAAAGATGAACAACTTGAAGTCTTGGACATTTTTTTGTTATAAAATTGGAACAATGGAGGCATCCTGAATGGGTGTGGTCAAGCTCCCACCCACAAAACAAAGGATTTTAGGTTTAGCTTTCAGCAGTTGCTGTTGGGATCTTGAACTGAAAGCTATTTTTCTCCTCTCTCGGTTATTGCCAAAAGCTGGGGGCGGTTCTCTGCTTGCAATGGGAGTTATACCTTAGACAATCGGTTTCCTGAATTTGCCTTTTTGCCAAGGGTGTGTTTACGGAACGTCACTATATAGGAATGGTTAATTAGCAATAGTTACTGTATCTATCACTCTGTTGAGTTTTCCAACAGAGTTGTTGTTCCAATTCCTTGTTTTGTTGTGTTTTAACTATAGTGAATGAATAAAATGTTTTGCTTTAATCCGGTAGTTTGACCAATCGAATTGCATCTGGAATGCAACACTTTACATTTACCTTTAAAATAAGAAAAAAGTTAGGGTCTAGTCTAGGGATAGTAAGAACTGCCAACGCTGGAGTCGGAGATAACAGTGTGGAGCTGGAGGAGAACAGCAGGCCAGGCAGCATCAGAGGAGCAGGAAAGTTAACATTTCAGGTCAAAACCCTTCTCCAGAAATGGGGGAAGGTGGAAGGGAGCTCCAAGGTAAATAGAGAGAGGAGGGCTGGCGCTGGGAAAGTAGGTGGGATGGTGATAAGTGAATGCAGGTAGGCAGTGGTGGGGATTGGTTAGTGAGGTGGGAGGAGTAGATAGGTGGGAGAGAAGATGGACAGGTTGTGTCAGGTCAAGGTGGCAGGGATGAGGGGGGAGGGTTGGTCATGGGATGAGGCCAGGGGAGGGGAGATTTTGAAACGGATAAAGTCCACATTGAGACCATTGAGCTGTGGGCTCCCAAGGCAGAATGAGGTTCTGCTCCTCCAATTTGTGGGTGGCATCATTGTGAAACTGGAGGCGGCCCAGGACATGTCATCCAAGGAGCGGGAGCGGGAGGTGAAATGGTTTGCGACTGGAAGGTGTTGTCGTTTGTCGCGAACAAAGTGCAGGTGCTCTACAAAGCAGTCTCCGAGCCTCCGCTTGGTCTCACCGATGTGGAGGCAGCCACATTGGGAGCAGCAGATGCAATAGACCACATTGACGGATGTGCAGGTGAACCTGTGTCTGATGTGGGAGGTTTGTTTGGTGCCTTGGATGGGGGTGAGGTGTAGGGGCAGGTGTAGCACCTCCTGCGGTTGCAGGGAAAGGTGCCAGGGCTAGTGGAGAGTGTGGAGTGTGGAGCGGAGGAGGGAGTCGTGGACAGAGCGGTCCCTATGGAAGGCAAATAGGGGTGGGGAGTGAAATATATCTCTGGTTGTGGGGTCGGATTGCAGGTGGCGGAGAATGATATGTTGAATATGGAGGTCACTGGGGTGATACGTGAGGACAAGGAGGATTGTCTTTGTTTTGTTGCTGGTTGAGGATGTGAGGGCAGAGGTGAAGGGAAACACAAGAGATGCGGTCGAGAGCATTTTTGACCACCGAAGGGAGGAAGGTGCAGTCGAGAGTATCTTTGAAATATTTTGAGGAGTTTGATCTGGTCCATAACAGAAGGGAGAAGTCAAGGCTATTTTTTCTAATTTGCTGGAAGATGGGACCTGCACAAGCTGCAGGGGTAGCACCTGAGGACCATGTTAGACACAAGGCAGCATGCAAGTGGTTTTGGGGAGGATAAGGATGGAACATGACTGTAAACCAAACATTAGTGAACAATTGAGAAGGGCAGAACAAACAAAGGCTAAAGGTTCAACAAAGCAGCTTGGCAGTGCTTTTTGACAAATTCTTCAATACAAGCAGTTCTCGTGAACTATGCAGATGAGTCAAGGGCACATATATATACACACACTACCAGACCCTCAGTGAGTGATAGTGAAAAACAAATATATAAACAAACTGGTGAGAAATACAAAAACAATGGCTGTATAAAACAGCGGCTAGGCCATAGCTGGAGTACTGAGAGCAGTTCTGGTCACCATGCTACAGAAGGATGAGATTGCACTGGAGGGTGCGGAGAGGAGGCTCACCAGGATGTTACCTAGGATGGAGCACTTTAGCTAAGGAGAGAGACTGGATAAGCTTGGTGTGTTTTCTTTAGAGCAGAGCAGGTTGGGGGAGGTGCCTGAATGAGGTGTATAAGATTATGAAGAGCATGAACAGGATGGACAAAAAGCAGCTGTTCCCTTTAACTGAATAATCAATAACAAGGGGGTAAAATTCTAAGATAAAAGTCAAAAGATTTAGAGAAGATTTGAGGAAAACATTTTACACCCAGAGAGTGGTGAGCAGCTGGGTTGCACCACCCGGAAGGATAGCTGGGGCAGGAAATCTCATGACCTCCAAAAATGTACTTGGGATGAGCACTTGAAATGTTGTAATAGTCAAGTGCTGAAAAGTGGGACTAGTGTAGATTTAGAATTGTTTGGTCAGCGCAGATTCAATGAGCCAAAGAATTTGGCCCTAAATTTAAGAGCTAGGTGTAACAAGTTTGCACGCAATTCAAAATTTGGTTGTGTGACTAATAATAATGGGGAAAAAAAAGTAGACTGTGTGAACATACCAACTGACTGGTCAGATCAGCAGAAAAGTAGCAAGTTTAACTCAATCTGGAGACGTAGAACATAGAAAAGTGCAGCACAGTACAGGCCCTTCGGCCCACGATGTTGTGCCGACTTATTAACCTACAAAGATCAAACTACCCTGCATACCCTACATTACACTATCATCCATGTGCCTATCCAAGAGTCGCTTAAAAGTCTCTAAAGTATTTGACTCCACTACCACCGCCGGCAGCACATTACACGCCCACCACTCTCTGTACAAGGAACCCACCTCTGACATCTCCCGTACACCTTCCTCCAATCGCCTTAAAATTATGCCCCTCCGTAATAGTCATTTCCGCCCTGGGGAAAAAAGTCTCTGGCTATCCACGCCTCATCATCTTGTACACCTCTATTAAGTCACTGCTTATCCTTCTTCGCGCCAATGAGAAAAGCCCTAGCTCCCTCAATATTTCCTCATAAGACCTACCCTCCAGTCCCGGCAGCATCCTGGTAAATCTCCTCTGCACCCTCTCGAAAGCTTCCACATGCTTCCTATAATGAGATGACCAGAACTGGACACAATATTCCAAGTGTGGTCTGACCAGGATTTTAGAGCTGCAGCATAGCCTCACGGCTCTTAAACTCATTTCCCCTGCCAATGAAAGCCAACACACCATACGCCTTCTTTACAACCCTATCAACTTGGGTCACAACTCTGAAGGATCTATGGACGTGGACCCCAAGATCCCTCTGTTCCTCCACACTGCCGAGAATCCTGCCATTAACCCGGTATTCTGCATTCAAACTCGACCTTCCAAAATGAATCACTTCACACTTATCTGGGTTGAATTCCATCCGCCACTTCTTTGCCCAGCTCTGTCTCCTGTCAATGTCCCGTTGCAACCTACAACAGCCCTCCACGCTGTCCACAACTCCACCAACCTTGGTATCATCGGCAAACTTACTAACCCACCCTTCCACTTCCTCATCCAAGTCATTCATAAAGATCACAAAGAGCAGAAGTCCCAGAACAGATCCCTGTAGAACACCACTCGTCAACGAGCTCCAGGCTGAATACTTTCCATCTACTACCACCCTGTGTCTTCTATTGGACAGCCAGTTTTGTATCCAGACTGCCAAATTTACCTGAATCCCATGCCTCCTTACTTTCTGAATGAGCCTACCATGTGGAACCTTATCGAATGCCTTGCTAAAATCCACAGAGTGGATAGCCAGAGGCTTTTGCCGAGGGTGGAGGTAGCTATTACGAGGGTTTTAAAGTGAGTGGAGGTAGATATAGGGGAGACATCAGAGGTAGGTTCTTTACTCAGAGTGGTAGGGACGTGGAATGCATTGCCGGAGACGTTAGTGGAGTCAGCCTCATTAGGGGCATTTAAGCGGCGATTAGATAGGCATATAGATAATAGTATACGGTAGGGGTGGAGGTTAGATAGACCTTAGGTTTAGGGTAAAAGTTCAACACAACATCGTGGCCAAAGGGCCTGTACAGTTCTATATTCTACATACACCACATCCACTGCTCTGCCTTCAATGTGTTTTGTCACATCCTCAAAGAATTCTAAGAGGCTTGTGATGCATGACCTGCCCCTCAAAAAGCCATGCTGACTATTTCTAATCAAACTGTGCTTTTCCAAATAATCATAAATACTATCTCTCA